GGTCAAGCAGTTGGTAAACTGACTAAAATAATTATTGGTTGCAGCTGGTGCCAGGGAACGGCAGGCTCCCAATAGAAAACACCTGAAGCTGGTGATGAGCCGCGTCCCGATAAGATCTCAGGTGTTGGCATAGGCGGGAATTGAACAGTGAGAACACTTGGACACAGGGTGGGGAACCTCACACACCAGGGCCTGTTGTGGGGTGGGAGGGATAACATTAGGAGAGATACCTAATATAAATGACGAGTTAGTGGGTGCAGCACACCAACATGACACATGCATACCTACGTAACAAAGCTGCATGTTGTGCAAATGTACCCTAGAACTTAAAAAAAAATCAGGAGACCTCAGGTGAGTGAGGGCAAGCACGCGCACTACGAGGCAAAGTGGCAAAGTTTAACCAGTGTGTGACCTTCCCCTAGGAACTGGTAAGGGGAGACTGCCTCAAGAGGGCACCGCACAACTCCAGCAAGCACACTGTGCCCGCGGCCCTCCCAAGTGCTGGCAGGCCACTGCGCATGCGGACAGCCCACCCCAAGGGAAGAATCAGGGGGAAAGGGATGCAGCCCCCCAGAAGCAAACCAACATATAAACCCCAAGTCAAAGGTCAAAACTGTGTACTTAGTCTCTCAAGATGCCCCCTGCCCCTCCTCCGAGTGTACTTTACTTCCTTCCATGCCTGCTCTAAAACTTCTTAATAAACCTTCACTCTTGCTCTGAAACTTACCTCAGTCTCTCACTCTGCCTTGTGCCCCCAGATGAATGACTTCCTCTGAGGAGGCAAAAGCTGAGTTGCTGCAGACTCATATGGATTTCTGCTGCTGACACCAGGAGATGGCGTTCTGGGCTCCCTGCGGCCCCGGAGAGTAGCAGCCTCCCCTCTTTCTCTAGGAGTACCCCTCACTAGGAAATGGCAGTATGCACTCAGCTCGTTACATTCCATGCCATTGATACCTGTGTGTGCATGAGCCCCAGTCTCACGCAGGGCCCTAGGAATGAGCCACGGCCTCCCTCTGGTGTGAATGGTTAGCCTTTGGGGAACCCTAAGCAGATGCCCATATTCAACTGGCAAGATTCTCAAACACCAGCACACAAGCCAACCCCGGACGGCTGCTCATGCACATGGTGGCACTTACCAGTAACTTTTCAACGATGGAAAAATGTTCTTGGATGGGCTAGAAAGTCCTGTAAGAGCTGTGTCCTTGCAAGAGGAGAGCCAGCAGCCTGGCACAAGGGTCACACCTTGAGCCTAGATGTCCCTGCCACTGACCTGCTTGAAAGCTCACTGGTCTGCCACAGAACGCTTCTGCTTTGCCTCCAGGAAAAGGCCTTGTTATCTGCAAACTCCCAGAGGCACCCATCGCAGGATACCCAGCTTTGCCTGAGGGCTCTTGTCCCTGTTTGCCTATAAGTATCTGCACCTGGGACAGAATCTAATCCACATCAAAACTCAGTGTGAGACTTGCTTTCCTAGAACTACAACCCCAGGGGCAGGTAGTGTGGGCAGAGACAGAGTCCCACCCCGCCCGGTGGACACAACATCTGTTGAATGAGACCAAACATGGGTTTGTGGCCCTTCATCCATATATCCTGCAGATGTGCCTGGCGCGGTGGTTCAGCCTGTAATCCCAGCACTTTGGGAGGCTGAGACGGGCAGATCACAAGGTCAGGCGATCGAGACCATCCTGGTTAACACGGTGAAACCCCATCTCTACTAAAAATACAAAAAATTAGCTGGGCGTGGTGGCGGGCGCCTGTAGTCCCAGCTACTCAGAACGCTGAGGCAGGAGAACGGCGTGAACCCAGGAGGCGGAGCTTGCAGTGAGCTGAGATCATGCCACTGCACTCCAGCCTGGGCGACAGAGCGAGACTCCGTCTCAAAAAAAAAAAAAAAAAAAAAAAAAAAAAAAAAAAAAAAAAAAAATCCTGCAGATGTTAGAATGCGCGGAAGAGAGAGAAACCCAGCGTCAATGAATACAGAGAGGCAGAAGATCCAAAACCTTCCTTCCCAGCAAAGCCTGGGTGCGAGGTCCCCGAGCTGAGCTGAGCCTGGGGACAGGCTCCAGTCTGAGGACACCCCACAGCCCTCACAGCAGGGAGTATCCACATTCAGATGCCCTCCTCTTTCCCTCCACCCGCCTCCCAAGGCTGCACAGCAGCTACGGCCTGTAGGGAGAAGTGCGGTTTGCGGGTGCCATTCCTATTTCCTTCGTGTCTGACCACTGCCTGAGGGCCTCACAAAGGAACCAAATCTCTTGGAGCCTGTATTTCTTGTCATCCTGAGTGGCCATTGGAGTCCTCAATGAATAAGGACAGCAAAGGTCAGTTCTTCATGTGAGCTTTCTAGAACATTCCAGGCACTCCATGTACTAACAGGTTCCTTGCTAGAGGGCCCTCAAATGATGGAATTGATAAAAGCATTTTAAAACGTTGATAAATTCTCTAACCATAGACGTGGAGCTCAGTGAGTACAAATGCAAGATGTGACTCCCCCAGGCCTAGAAAGCAAGCCGTAGCTTCAGAGACGTGGTAACCTTGGCTCTCCACGGGAGTGAGGCCAACAAAGTCAGCAGAACAGGGTCAAGCAGCTCCTGTTGCCCAAGCAGCCACAGCCACCTGGCCTTCACTGCATCCAGCTGTGCAGTGGCCGAGAGGGTGCTGTGTGAGGACAGCGGGAGGAGAGGCCTTCAAGACCCAGGCAAGCTAAGCCTGGGGAGACAGAAGCAGCCACCACACTGGAGGAGTGTTGAGGGGGACGCAGGAGTTTGAGGAGTTCTGTGGGGTGCTGAATGGGGTCCTCCTCTGGCGCTTTCTCGAGGGAGTTCTGCAGTGATCCACATCCTTTCCAGGGATTTTCCGTCATGTGCTGTCACATGCTGGCATGGCTGGCTGGCAGCCCAGCCTCTGGCGGTCAGAGTCGGGAGGCAACAGATTCAAGGGTCCCTTTCTTCATGTGGTTTCTCAACAGGGCAGGGGGATGCCCACGAGTGTGCAAATGTGTCCAGACCACTGCAGAACCCCGTCTGCTCAACAGGGCAGGGGGATGCCCACGAGTGTGCAATGTGTCCAGACCACTGCAGAACCTGCTCAACAGGGCAGGGGGATGCCTACCGAGTGTGCAATGTGTCCAGACCACTGCAGAACCCCGTCTGCTCAACAGGGCAGGGGGATGCCCACGAGTGTGCAATGTGTCCAGACCACTGCAGAACCTCGTCTGCTCAGCTAAAGAGGCCCTTCCTGTCTGTGATCTTTCCTAGGATGGCAAATGTCCTGCACCACCAGCCACCCCTTCCATTGGCCACTGTGGATGACACTAGGGATGGACATTGATCAAGAAGGTATCAACCTGCTTCCAGCTCCTAGAGCTGGCCAGGTGCCTGACAGGAAAAGGAGACATCTGAGGAACACAGAGAGATGGGGGTAGGGTGGTAGGGAGAGGGAGATGAAGCCACACCCCAGAGCTCCTCGGTTTGTAGCTCTTTCCCGAGGCCTGGCTAGGTCCCTGCCTTGGATGCCATGAGACATCCACCCTGGATAGCCTGCCAGTCCCTTTATGTTTGACAGTGGGAGTTGGAATTTGCCTCCCGCAGACCACAGGACTACAGCCTTCATTCACATGTTGCACAGACTGTGGCAGGACCAGCACCCGCTGCCGGTGTGGGACGCCTGGCCCTGTAGGGGCCCCCAAGAGTGGCTGAAGAGCAAGGTGTGATACCTCTTGGGCCACGCTGCAAACCGCTCACGAGCCTGTTGAGGAGGATGCATTTGATCAGGGTAACTGGAGTCGGCAGAGGGCTTTCCAAAGACAGGTTTGCCAAGAAGCGAGAAGAGACTGAAGGGGGAAGGATAGAGGCGCTGGGTGCAGTCAGACACCACTGCAGCGGTAGACGAAAATCGCGGTGAGAGGACTCTGTGGGGAGGGTAACTAGGTGCATGAGAGTGAGAGGGGCGAAAAAAAGACTCGAACGGCTCCGAAGCTCCTGGTCCAGCTTCCAAGGGTTGGTGGCCCAGGACTGTCCCTGCACGCGGCCTCGGGTGCCTGCTCTGGACAGGCCTCCTTCTCTGGCCCAGTCTCGGCACCAATCATTGTCCCATCCGCCAGTCAGCCAAATCCTGAGTTCTTCCCAGAGCCCAGCACTCTGATGCAATTGTCCCTGCTCCGAAAACCCTCAGCAACCTATTGGGTCTTCAGTAGCATCTACTCTTTCTAGAAATGTCGAACAAGGTTTTCGATTGTGGTGCGCTTGTGGTACGCGTGTGGCAGACACAGAAAATGAAACGACCTTCCAGAGAACTGGCCAAAGGGCGGGAGCCGCTCCAGTACCTGAAGGGCACGGACTGAGCGCTTCTCACGGAGTCGGAGTCGGGGAGGTCGCCGGACCATCCACCGGCTGCCCGAGGGCCTCCCACTGGCCTCCCACGGCCGCCCTCCGAGGGGCCGCTGCTGACTTCGCTGTGCTGGGCACGCCTGGCTTTAGCGGGAAGCTGGGGGTCAGGTTCAAGGCTGTGAGGAGCCACTTCAGCCTGGGAATTTGAATTCTTCCTTCAAAAGCGCCTGTCCCCACAATGGGCTTGTACTGGGGAAAAAATCCACACACGGGATGAGGTGCTCAGCTTCTGTGAGGGTGAGGGTTCTGAGCACTTCGTTTTTCTTCCCTCTAGATTTTGACAGTTGTGGACTAAAAGGGTCGCAGGCCCAGTGCCGGAATTCCCGTACCGCCTTCCACCAGGCTCCCCACACGTCGACACGGCCCCCACTTGGTGGTCTGGCAAGCGTGGTCGGTTGGGGGCGGCGCCCCGGGGACCCTGCAGCCCTAGCCTTCCCCGGCTCCCCGCGAACACCGTCTGAGGCCCCAACTGCGGAGCTACTGGACCCCTGGGAGGCACGCCCGGAGGGTGGCGCGGGCTGGTGACGTCACACACGCGCCGTGTCCCGGACGCGCGTGCGCGGCGGCGGCCGAGACTCCGCTTCCCAGGGAGCCGCGCGGCGTGTCCACTTCCGGCAGGCGGCGGGGCCCGGAAGCGGCGCGCGGCGCCGGCGAATCCCGCGGCGCCAGGTCGGAACGGGGCTGGAGTATGCGGGGCGGCTGGCGGTCTGCGGCGCGCGGCGCATTCGTTCCCCCGCGGCGGTGGCGGCGGCGCGCGGCGGCTCTCCAGTGAGCGGCGGAGGCCGGAGCGGCGGGCTGGGTGCCGGGCGGGCGGGGCCCGCGGCTGAGAGGCGGGCGGGCCGGGGGCGCCAGGCGCGGGGCAGCCATGTGGAGCGGCCGCAGCTCCTTCACCAGCCTGGTGGTGGGCGTGTTCGTGGTCTACGTGGTGCACACCTGCTGGGTCATGTACGGCATCGTCTACACCCGCCCGTGCTCCGGCGACGCCAACTGCATCCAGCCCTACCTGGCGCGGCGGCCCAAGCTGCAGGTGAGCGTCCGCGGGGTTGGGGGCCGGGGGCCGGGCGGGTTGGGGTGGGGGCCACTCCTCCAGGCCCCAGACGCCGCCGTCGCGTCTTAGTTCGGAGCTGTGGCCGCGCGAGTCGAGATGGAACCTTTCCTGGTTCCCCAGCGGCCAGGTCTTCCGCCCTCCGACTGGCCGTGGGATGCGTGTGCGTCCTGCCAGGGCCTGGCCAGGCTGACCTGGACGCCCCCTCCTTTCCAGCTGAGCGTATACACCACGACGAGGTCCCACCTGGGTACTGAAAACAACATCGACCTGGTCTTGAATGTGGAAGACTTTGATGTGGAGTCCAAATTTGAAAGGTATGGTTGTAGGACAAAATGCCAGTGAAAGGGAAAACATTACTTGTGTTCAGGTCGTTTAAAAGTTAGCTTTCTGTACCTAACGTGTTTACCTTAGAGAACTAGTCTTACCGAATGTCTCGAAGTAGTAGAAGATCGTAAGTGGAGGCCTATGCGTGGCCTGTGAACATTCAGCCTGGAAGGTGACAGGTGATGAATGTCGTTTGGGAGGTAGCTCTCAGCAGAGTCTGATGGCAGTGGGATGTCCTGCAGCGGGGAGGCTCCGAAGGAGCAGGGGCCACGCTTGAACCAGTTGAGAGCGGACAGCTCTGTAGTTTCACTACCGGGGCCGTCTTGTCTTTTCCTAGTGGAAGTAGTTCGCTTAAGTTGCTTGTGAAGGAAAAGGGATGGGGATGGAGGAAGCAATTTTGTAGACAATCATAATTAAATGACATGTGACATTAGAATAGATCAATGTCCAAATATGTAGAGTAACTTAAAAATTACATCTAACATATGGCCTAATTTTTTTTAATTGAATAATTTTAACTGTGATTTGCTTCTCACAAGTCGACCATTTCCCTTCATTGCCTGGGAGGTGTCTGAGGAGAGAATAATGAAAGCTTGAGACTCTTGCTGGACTCCACGCCCTCGAGGCGGCCAGTCCCTGTAGGCAGCTGGAGGCACTGGCAAGGCGGTTTCTGCCTGGCCTCTTTGGGCCTGTGATCTCAAGCCAGTTGCTGCCCTCTCTCTGCCTTCATGAAGTAGAGGCCAGAAGTGCTGGCTTGGTCACCAGTCGGTTGTAGCTGCCCGCACCTTTCAAAAATGCTCAGGATTCACCTGCATTGGGTTTAATTTCCCAGACACGAATACTGCGTCTTCCATGCTGGGCCCTGGACCAGTTACCAAGGACAGCTAGTGAGGTTTTCCATTTGACCTGGCACAGTGTCAGCCTGGGGACAGCGGGGAGAATGAGCATTCTGACAGCCCCACCTCAAGTGTCTCTGAGTGCACCTTCCATCAGAGATACACAGCCCTGCACCCCCGCCTAAAGAGAGACACGTAAGATGTCCTGGTGGAGACGGATTATTTCTTGGGTAGTGAGGAGCCATAGATGCCTTTGTGTTTCTCATTAGAACTTTGACCATAAGATTTTTTTTTTTTTTTTTTTTAATGGAGTCTCACTCTGTTGCCAGGCTGGAGTGCAGTGGCACGATCTCTGCTCACTGCAACCTCCGGGTTCAAGTGATTCTCCTGCCTCAGCCTCCAAAGTAACTGAGACTACAAGTGCCCGCCACCACGCCTGGCTAATTTTTGTATTTTTAGTAGAGACAGGAGTTCACCATGTTGGCCAGGCTGGTCTCAAACTCCTGACCTCGTGATCTGCCTGCCTCAGCCTCCCAAAGTGCTGGGATTACAGACGTGAGCCGCTGCACCTGACCAACCATGAGATTTTTAAGGAGAGACCAGGCACAGTGACTCACACCTATAATCCCAGCAGTTTGGGAGGCCGAGGTGGGAGGATCACTTGAGCCCAGCGGTTCGAGACCAGCCTAGGCAATGTGACAAAACCCCAGCTCTACAACAATTTTCAAAGTTAGCCGGGCATGGTGGCATGCACACCTGTAGTCCCAGCTACTCGGGAGATTGAGGCGGGAGGTTCCTTGAGCTCAGGAGGTTGAGGATGCAGTGAGCTATGATTGCACCCCTTGCAGTTTCAGCCTGGTGACAGTGAGACCTCGTCTCAAAAAAAGACTTTTAGGCTGGGCAGGTGGATCACAAAGTCACAAGTTCAAGACCAGCCTGGCCAACATAGTGAAACCCCATCTCTACTAAAAATACAAAAAATTAGCCAGGTGTGGTGGTGGGTGCCTTTAATCCCAGCTACTTGGGAGGCGGAGGCAGGAGAATCACGTGAACCTGGGAGGCGGAGTTTGCAGTGAGCCGAGATTGCGCCATTGCTCTTCAGCCAGGGTGACAGTGCAAAACTCTGTCTCAAAAAAAAAAAAAAAAGACTTTTAAAGAGGAAGAAGAACTCATGTAACCATAAACAGGTGGCATGTGAGGTTTTCCACGGGGCTGTAGTATGGACGTCAGACTCGAGCGTGCAGGTGAAGAGCCAAGCGCCTGGTCCGAGGCCTACAGTTGTAGCAGCTCACCGGGCCTTTCCTCAGCTCACATTGGAGGCTGCGCAGTCAGGGCAGACAGGCTTGAAAGTCAGTCCTTTGTGGCTGATCCTCTTTTTATCTTTAAAAATGCAACACCCAAAAAGCTACCCACATTAAATTTCTGAGACTCCAGTAGCAGGCATATGGAGCCCTCGCGGCTGCTGCCCTTCGCTTCAGAGTTCTGGGATTCAGTGTGTGGTCAGCTGGTATCCTGGCCAGGCCCAGAAGCTGCTTTCCAGCTGGCTGCTTCAGCCCTGTAGCCTCAGGCGGGTCATTGACCTCTCAGCCTCCTGAGATGGAGGCAGGAAGCGCGAGCCCTCTTGCTTTCAGCTGTAGGCGCCCACACCTGTGCCGAGTTCTCAGGACACACACACCCAGGACTCGTAAAGCCCCAGGCAGGTGGGTTTCATTTTTAGTACTTCTGAACTGAAATTAGTTTATTGAAACAACTTTGTAAAGGTATTTGAATAGTTTTTAGAGACAGAGTATAATACGTATGTAGTGTAAATGGTTGTTCTGTTTCAGGACAGTTAATGTTTCTGTACCAAAGAAAACGAGAAACAATGGGACGCTGTATGCCTACATCTTCCTCCATCACGCTGGGGTCCTGCCATGGCACGACGGGAAGCAGGTGCACCTGGTCAGTCCTCTGACCACCTACATGGTCCCCAAGCCAGAAGAAATCAACCTGCTCACTGGGGAGTCTGATGCACAGGTGAGGGTCTTTGTGGGTTACTGACAACAGGCTGTGCCGCCCCGTCAGAACGGACGTGTCTGTTTCCACAGTCAGGCGATGTTTAGGGCTCCAGTGACTTTGTTGGGAGTAAAGCCATTGGAATGTTACTGGCATGCATTTCTGACTTTCAGCTGAGTCATGTCCACGAGTTTGCAGACAAGTTTTACCTAAAATTAGGGACAGTTGAAGTGGTCGCTGGCATTCTTTATGCAGAGTCCCTCAGGGAGTGGGCCCTCTCAGCGTCTGGAGGCACCTGCTGCACCTGGTGGGATGGAGCCCTGGTCCTGCAGAGCTGGCCTGCAGCTTCTCACCAGGAGCTCTGGGGATGAGAGCTGGGCTCATTGTGCATTCTGTAGGACTGGACTATTCCTAGATGTTTATTCTAAGAACGTAACTGGAGATGCTGGAAAAGGTAGAGGTACGAGTTGTAGTTTGTACATCTGTAGAAAGGTGTATGCACAAATAAAAACTGGAAGTCACTTAAGTGATCATGAACACAGGCCAAGGATAAAGCAGGGGAATTCTGATACCCACCTTTGTGTTGAGTAGAAAGTGAGATAATTTATAAAACAAGGCTGGGCGCTGTGGCTCATGCCTGTAATCCCAGCACTTTGGGAGGCTGAGGTTGGTGGATCACCTGAAGTCAGGAGTTCGAGACTAGCCTAGCTAACATGGCAAACCCCGTCTCTACTAAAAATACAAAATTAGCCGGGCGTGGTGGTGTGTGCCTGTAATCCCAGCTACTCGGGAGGCTGAGGTGGGAGAATCGTTTGAACCCTTAAGGTGAGATGGCACCACTGCATTCCAGCCTGGGCGGCTGAGGGAGACTCTGCCTCAGAAAAAAAGTTTACGAAACAAGAAAGATGGCAGCTTTCCGGAAGAGGCTGTGAAATTGTTCCAGACAGAGAGAAAGAGAGGTGTCTCGGGGTTGATGTGGTTTTGAAAGCCCTGCCAACACCTGCTCTTGCCTCTCCCCAGTTTGCATCTGTGTCTCCTTCGGAACATCCCACACCTGCCCCTCCCCATGTCCCCCTCATCCGGGGCCCGCATCCCTCCTCACCAGTGTCCTGAAAAGTGGGTGGGGTGATGGGTACTTCACATGTAGCCCAGGGAGCCTCCCTTCCAGGTAGCAAATGTGAGGAGATGTGAAAAACCAGTTGTAATGTAAAGTATTGCTAAACTGTATCTTTAGGTAGGAAATGGGTAAGATCGTAGTGTTTCCTAGGATGTATCAGATCTGAAACGAGCTAAGATTTCCCTGTCAGTCAGTGTCCCTTTGAAGTTTAACTTCATTTAAGAGCTGTGCGTAGTCCTCAGTGTGTCTCCTTTAGGCAGCCCCACATGCTTGATTTTAGAAGCCCACTCCCTCTCAGTCTCCTTAAAGCCACCGGGCTGTGTGAGCTCTGGACTTGCACAGTCTTCTGCCAAAGTCCGGGGGCTCTCACCCTCTCAGCTTCTGAGAAGTGGGCCCACTTAGTTTGAGAACCCCAAAAAAGGAATTGGTGAGATCCGTGACCACATGTTGCAAAGCAGCACCCCCAGGCTTCCACGTTGATAAGGATTGGGGGTGTTTGGTGAGAGTCTGGGGAAATTGGCAGCTGTGGGGCCACTGTGCCCTCTCTGCTGGGCTCTCCCCCAGTTGTGCCCGTGCATGGCTGGCTGTTCACAGGTTAGGGTGCTGACCCTGCTGTCCCGGGCACGGTTTTCTGTCCTAGCGTTGGCCTCTGTTTTCCTCACTTAGCAGCAGCTCGAGGCGGAGAAGAAGCCGACGAGCGCCCTGGATGAGCCAGTGTCCCACTGGAGACCGCGGCTGGCACTGAATGTGATGGCAGACAACTTTGTTTTCGACGGGTCTTCCCTGCCTGCCGATGTGCATCGGTACATGAAGATGTAAGTGGGGCCCCAGAGCTGGAGCGCCGGCGGGAGGGTGCTGGGACCCTGGCTGGCCAGAACCCGCCAGCGGGCCACTCCTGCATCCTGCATTCCCCTCTGTGGCGAGGCACTCGCTGCCTGGGCCCCCCAGCTCTTCCCACTTCCTCGTTGAGGTTGTGCTGCTACCAGAGGGCTGGAAGGGAGAAGAAAGGAATTCAAGCTGGAGCATCCTGCCCTTTGCTCCTGGCTGGCGAAGGCTTCCATGGAGAGAAAATGGAAGGTGCTGATGGGAATGTGTTGCTTTGCTGCCCTTGTGATTTTTTAACTTGGCTCATTTAGATTTACTTAAAAGTTAACCTTTAGATTATTACTTTAGTATAACTTACCATCAGTTAAATACAATTATTGGAATTTACGTGTTTGGCCACCTGAACTCATCCCGAGTCTCCCATGTGTTGGGGATCCCCCCTAACTCCCACACCACAGCTCCATCTCCTAGGTGGCTGCAGGTGACTCGCCCTTCCAATTGTAGCGGCTACGTCCTGGGATTGCTCCATGTCAGTGCACAGAAGGCCCTGGGCTCTGCTGTACGGCCATGTCCCTGTAGTTCCCCCTAGTGGCCGTGGAGGCGTTTTCCCACCTGTGGCCATCACTTCCTGGGGAGTGGGTCTCAGAGGCGTGCATATGTTGTCAGGCTCTCTGATTCTGTTTGGGGACGATGTGCCCTGGGGTCATTGTGACTGAGAAGCAGCTGAGGGTGGTGCTGGGGGTACTTCTCTGGGGTAAACCCAGTGCCTGGATGTATTGATTCATTGAAAGGGAAAAACCTTGGACTGATTTTGGAAAGTTGTGCTTTAATCCCAGGATCCAGCTGGGGAAGACCGTGCATTACCTGCCCATCCTGTTCATCGACCAGCTCAGCAACCGTGTGAAGGACCTGATGGTGAGTGACGCCTCTGCCCACTGGTTGTGCAGCTGGCGAGACTGATCCCAAGACTGGCCCCGCAGCCCCAGCACCATAATGGACAGGGCCATTGCTGACATATAGCACGGAGCTTTTACCTGTGCTGGGAAGCACTGCCTTTGGGCGTGCGAGGGCTGTGATGGGGGGCGGCCCTGGTGGTGCGCTGGGTTTGCTGTTGGCTGGCCATGGGGTCCTCCTGAGCCTCTGGATTGTCGCTGGTGAAAGGCCCCTGAAAGATTGTTTATGCAGCGCTTAGAGGGCAGGCGCGTGAGCGCTGTGTGAAACAGCGTCTGCGTGTGAGCTCATGGTGTGCCATGTAGATTAATTCAGAGTGTCCTGAGCAAACTCCTGCTTTCCCCGCCAGGGCTAGTCCTGCACAGGCGGCCAGAGGAGCGGGTGACAGCCTTCCTCAGCTCTGGGGGTGACCCCTGGCAAGGCGAAAGGCCTGTGCGGGAGGGAAGTGACTGCTCTCTGGGCTCTGGCGCCATGTGGTTTCGGGCAGTGATGGCGCCTGCTCTCCCAGGGTTGCTTTGAGGGGAGATGAAATGTGGCCACCCTTTGGCCAGTGTCGAGACTCACAGAAACGGTTAATATTTAATGTCCCTTGCTGCACATGCGGCACTGTGCTAAGCACTCTGTGAACCTTTCTGTAATCGTGCTGGGAGCTGTGGCGTCGTTTCACGGATGAGGTTATTTGGGGTTCAGAGGTGAACGCTCAGCTGGGGCCCTGCAAGATCCCTGCTCTGCCTTGCCTCCCTGCAAGCTGTCGCTGTCACTCTAGACCACCCAGTAGGAGCCAGGCCACTTCACTTATGGCTTTCGGCAGCTCTGAGGCAGGCCGTTTCCCCATTTTTGTTGATGAGGAAACAGTCCTGGGGAGAGCAGGGAGCTTGCTGGGGGTGCAGCTGGGAAACGGGGGAGCGGGCACCTGGAGAGCAGGAAGCTTGCTGGGGGGGTGGGTGCAGCTGGGAAATGGGGGCGCGGCCACCTGACTGCTTTGATCTCTGCCCAGGCCCTGCTGCCTCCTGCTGACTGTGGGTCTCAGAACCGTCGCTCTGTTCCCTCAGACCCCTTGTGGTCCCTAACACTGCCTCCTTCACTTCTGGGGTCACTGATTGCTCCTATACAACCTGCAGACTGGGGACCAGACAGGCAGTGACTGGCGAGCAGGTCTGGTGTTTCAGCCTCTCCCTGAACAGTTTCTCTGTCAGCCCCGCAATTCCAGTGCCTTTCTCTGTTGGCTGGAGTTTGCTGGTGTGCTGCTGACAAACCTCAGGACAGCAGGTTCTGCTAAAATGCCCCGTATGGAGTTGTAAGAGCTGTGGCACCAGCCCGTGGTCGCCTCTTGTGAGGCCTCATGCTGCTGACTCCTTGCAGGCGTTCAGAAGACGGTGGAAGGGGCAGGCGGCTACAGAAGGCTGCCCTGTGTGTGTGTCTGCAGATCTGTCTGTTAGAGGCCTGGGGCAGGCTTTGTGGCACAGCTGTGCCGGTGGTGGCGCGCGCTGCAGTAGTTACGGAGACGCGTGCCGACAGCGGCTTCCCCGAATCCCGGTCTCTCATGTGCTGTGTCTGTTGCTGTGTCTCACTTGGGGCCAGATTTGAGAGGTGCTGTCTTCAGAGAGGAAGCAGGCAGCTGGGACGCAGCAGGCGCAGGAAGTCGGCACCTTCTGTGGCTGGGCCCAGCACTGCCAGATGGAGCAGGCAGTGACACCCTTCAGACACGCTTGGCAGCTCGAGGGGTGCCTGGAGGCCACCGTCCACGTGCACTGATGCCACTCGGCTGCGTGGGGCGCCCTGACAGCTGCTCTCAGGACACCCTGGCACCTGCTGGTTGTGGCTCTGACTCCACCACACCCTTGACACCAGCAGTGCCCGCCATGGCGGGTCAGGGCGTGAGGCAGGGCAGGTGGATTAGAGCACAGCCCTCGCTGGATGTTCCAGCATGTGGAGGGTGGCGCTCACCGGGTGTGGTCACTGCACATGTGCTGTAGGGTGTGGGCTTGCCTCTGTGAACCCGTTCCTTACCCTCCTACCTCGGTGCCCTGGGACCCGGCCGGCAGTCTGTGTGCATGAGGCCCCGGCGGGCCCCAGGACTAAGCTTATTGTTCTGGGCCCACACATCCATCCCACTGCCCGTGCTAGCTTTGCGTTCCGGAAGCCTTCCGTTGTCCCCGTGGCCACCACCTGCTCCGTGCTTTAGGCCCTGGGGGCACTTTGCCCATGTGCTGCAGGGCTGTGCATGTCCCGTGGTCCCCAACTCTTAGGACAAGCCAGCGCTCTGCAGGCCAAGCTCAGCGCTGTATGCTGCGCCGTGGATTCCTAGCAGATAGTGGCAAGCATCACCTCCAGGGAACCAGGACTTGTGCACTTGAAATTGAAGGGGCACGTGCAGCAGAACAGCCCAGGCACTGCTAGCACTGCTGAGCTCACAGGGTCCTGGTGGTGGTGGGAACCTCCCTGTGCTGGGACACAGCACGCTGGGGCCTGGGTCCTGTGGTGACAGAAGGAGGGACCTCAGGACGCCTGCTGGGTTCCGTCATGTCTGACCTGGGGCCACACAGGGATGGGAAGGGGGATGGCAGGGTTGACGAGGGCTGCCAAGCAGCTGTGCGCAAGGGTGTGAGGGCAGGGCCCTCAGTGTGGCTGTCTTCATCAGGTCATAAACCGCTCCACCACCGAGCTGCCCCTCACCGTGTCCTACGACAAGGTCTCGCTGGGACGGCTGCGCTTCTGGATCCACATGCAGGACGCCGTGTACTCCCTGCAGCAGTTCGGTACGTGCCACACACAGCTGGCATCGGGATGAGGCTGCCCTGGAGCCCCTCGGGCGTCTGAGTGCAAATCCTGACACAGGCCGGGGCCTCCACGCCTCCTGCTGCAGATGCTCTCACAGACGTTGAATCGGAGGCTCAGCAGCGCCTGCCTCACTTCTCTCCGTGGAGATGACCTGGTTGATTGTCTGGAAATTGACTTTATTAAGAATATAATATGTGAAATGCCATGATTTTGGTCAAATGAACCTTAACTGTTGACGAGATTTATTTTTATTTATTTATTTTTGAGACAGAGTCTCACTCTGTTGCCCAGGCTAGAGTACAGTGGCACAATCTCTGCTTGCTTCAGCCTCCGCCCCCCGGATTCAAGTGATTCGCATGCCGCAGTCCCTCCAGTAGCTAGGATTTACGGGCGTGTGCCACCACACCCGGCTAATTTTTGTATCTTTAGTAGAGATGGAGTTTCACCGTGTTGGCCAGGCTGGTCTCAAACTCCTGACTTCAAGTGATCCTCCCACCTGAGACTCCCAAAGTGCTGGGATTACAGGCATGAGCCACTGTGCCCGGCCTAAATTTTTATATTGAAAACTGTATTTGTAATGTTAGGTAAGATTGATATTGCCTGTTTCATATTGTATGTTTTTTTTTCTTGGCAGGGTTTTCAGAGAAAGATGCTGATGAGGTGAAAGGAATTTTTGTAGATACCAACTTATACTTCCTGGCACTGACCTTCTTTGTCGCAGCGTTCCACGTGAGTCATCCGCCAGGAGGGCTTGCCGCAGGCACTGGGGAGGCTCCCTGGGTCCCGGGCCTCCTGCAGGGGCCCTGGACCTGGGGTTTGTGGGCGCCATCCAGCCCTGTGGCCCTCAAGCGTCTACTCCCATTGCTCAGCAGCCAGCACTCCTGACCCTTGGCGACCATTGCCCCAGTGGGCGAGTTCTCCCAGTTCTGTAAAGGGAGGGACCATAGAGCTCCGTCCACAGCCTTGGGGACTTGGGGACTTGAGCTGTGCTGTGCTGGCTTTGGGGGTGGTTTTGAAAAGGATCCAGAGTACTCTGAGCAGTGTCCACACCAGTGAGATGAACAGGTACAGGCATCTCTCCCCTGTCCGGGCCCCGACCCCGTGCGCGCCCATGCGGAGTTGGGCAGCTTCTGGCAGAAAGTACTTGTACAGATTCTAACACACTGATTTTTAAATGTAAAAAGTCCTGTGTGTATACAGTAGTCCCCCTTTATCCTCATCCGGTGTGTATACAGTAGTCCCCCCATCCTCATCTAGTGTGTGTGTAGTAGTCCCCCCATCCTCATCCAGTGTGTATACAGTAGTCCCCCCATCCTCATCTGGTGTGTATGCAGTAGTCTCTTATCCTCATCCAGTGTGTATACAGTAGTCCCCACTTATCCTCATCCAGTGTGTATACAGTAGTATCTCATCCTCATCTGGTGTGTATACAGCAGTCTCTTATCCTTATCCAGTGTGTATACAGTAGTACCTCATCCTCGTCCGGTGTGTATACAGCAGTCCCTTATCCTCATCTGGTGTGTATACAGTAGTCCCCCCTTATCCTCATCTGGTGTGTATACAGTAGTCCCCCCTTATTCTCATCCGGTATGTATACAGTAGTCCCCCCTTATCCTCATCTGGTATGTATACAGTAGTCTGCCTTATCCAGTGTGTATACAGTAGGTCCCCCTTATCCTCATCCGGTGTGTTTACAGTAGTCTCCCCTTATCCTCAGGAGATGCGTTCAAAGACCCTCAGTGGATACCTGAAACCAAAACCTAGAAAGACTGATTTTTCTTGTAAATATATATATTATATAATGCTTATGATAAAGTTCAATTTATACATTAAGCACAGTAAGAGATTACCAATAATAACTGGTGACAGAAACAGTACAGTACACTGTAATAAGGTTATATGGGTGTGGTCTCACTCTCAGAATATCTCATTGCACTGCTCCGTGGGTAACAGCAAACCATGGGTAAAGCAAGGCTGTTTTGCTCTTATTTTCGCCGGTGGAGTTGAGCTGCTAGAGGAGAGCCATCCTTGTGGCTGTTAGGCTGGCCTGTGGTTAGGCTGGAAGGGTGAGGAGGCACCCAGGAGTGCGGCTGGCGCTGGTTCTGAGTGCCTGGGAGTTTGGCTGCCCGTCAAGCTAAAACTTTCTAAAGCCACATTGGAGAATTAAATGATTTTTATTAAAAGGTCGATGTCTCTAAGGATGAGCTCATGCATGGTTAGGTTTTTTTAAGTTTTTTTTCTTTTGGAGACAGGTCTCACTATGTTGCCCAGGCTAGTCTCAAAACCCTGGGCTTAGGCAGTCCTCCGGCCTTGGCCTTGCAGTAGCCAGGACCACAGGCATGGGCCACCACGCCCAGCCCCTGCATTTCTAGCACAGTTGAGAGGTGAGGCTGCCCTGAGTAGGCACAACCCGAGAGCAGGGTAGGGACGCCCAGCCAGCCCCACAGTCCAGGGGAATCCAGAGCCTCCAATTGCCTGTGGGCCTTTCCAGCAATTCAAGTCAAAGATGAGTATTATTTCAGAAGGGCCCCTGCAAAGCCTGCCTGGGCACTCTAGGTTCTGACAGGACATGGCAGGCCAGGCGCATAGAGGTGCGGGTCCCGAGTGTAGACATCTGTCCTGATGCGTCCTGAGGCTGAGCACACCTGTAGTCTCACAGTCACACATGAGGCCTCTATCTCTGTCTCACAGGAGATAGAAACAGCAGGAGATGTGAGTTGCTGTCGTGTGTGTTCTCTCTAGCTTCTCTTTGATTTCCTGGCCTTTAAAAACGACATCAGTTTCTGGAAGAAGAAGAAGAGCATGATCGGCATGTCCACCAAGGCAGGTAGGCGCCCCGAGCGTGGCCGTGCTCAGATCCTCTGCCCCGGGGATGCTCACTGGAGCCTGCGGTTGAGGCTGCCCGCCTCACTGCTGGCTGCAGACACAGCGCCGGGTGTGTGCTTGGCTCTTGAGAAGCCTCTGAGACCAGGCACTGTAAAACCCAGAGAGCCTTTGCGGCAATTGCAGTGGGACTGTCGGAGGCTGCGCAGCTCAGGGCCTGGCTGCAAACTGTGGCATGTGTGTGGTGTGACTGCCGGAGGCTGCATATAGCTCAGGGCCTGGCTGTGGACTCTGGCGTGCATGGGGTTTGGACCTGGGCTGTGGGGAGTGAGAAGCATGGACCTCTCCAGCCTTCCCGGCTGCTCACGGGTGCTGAGCGGGGCTGGGGCCTCACATCCCCTGTCTTAGTTCCCTCGCCCCGTCCTCCCTCGGGTCTTCCTTTCCCGACCAGCGCAGGCCTGGGTGTGTGGGGCCTGCCAGGTGATGGCAGTTGATAGGCCTGTGGTGCTGTGCCCGGCAGCGACAGGGAGTGTGCAGCTATTAGGTAGAGCAGTCAGGGACCCCTGAGGCCAGGCAGCCCAGGCAGGAGGCCTGCCAAGATCTGGGAGCAGTATTCCTGGCCAAGGGTGCCTGCTGTGGTTAGGGGGCCCAAGTGAGTGAGGGTCCTCCTGACCTTGCAGGGGTGGAGGTTGTCACAGTGGGGTGGGGAGCGGTGGTCTGGACAGGGGCGAGGGGTTGGCGGTGTGAGGACGAGGAGTGGGTGAGTCCTGTTGGTTAGTAGGAGTGTTCGGCTCCAGCGAGGGGTTGGTGTGAGGACGAGGAGTGGGTGAGTCCTGTTGGTTAGGAGTGAGGAGTGTTCGGCTCCAGTATGCGAGACCCAAACAAGTTGTTTTTCTCACATGGAAAAGATGCCCAAGCAGGTGGCCCTGGCTGCCTGGGGGCCCTGCTGTGCTCTGTGGTGGTGTCTCCTAACCCTAATGCCTTTCCTGGCGTCCCAGGTTGGGGTGGCCAGCAGACAGCGCTGTGGCCATGAGCACTGTTTGTCGTGTGGCTCCATGAATCTGCTTCCCCTGCCTGCCCTGGGGGTTTGCGGGAGGAGGAAGACGTGTTGAATAAGCTGGAGTGGTTGTTAAGGTACAGGCTGGGGAGGAAACCAGTCCAGACTTGAAAAGCCACGCGCTTATCGCAGAACCAGCACAAGACCTGCCTGGAAGCAAATCTGTGCTGGCCCCGTCATCCGACCTCTGCCCACGTTCCGTGCTCGTTTGCAGGTGTGGCTCAGACACGTGTTTGTGGAGCTGGTGTGTGTGGCTCAGACACGTGTTTGTGGAGCTGGTGTGGGGCCAGCTGTTCAGTTCAGCAGCCTTCAAGACACTTTCCTGGTTGCTAGATGCTTCCCTGTTCTTTTTAAACAGGGGGACATGGACTGGGGAGTACCTGAAGCTTCTTGGGCCTGGGGGTTGGGATGGGGGACTGGGGGTATGTGTGCGACTTGGGGGCACACAGGTGGGGTCTGCCCTGCACCCCCTCCCAGCCTGACCGTCCTGTCCCCAGTGCTCTGGCGCTGCTTCAGCACCGTGGTCATCTTCCTGTTCCTGCTGGACGAGCAGACAAGCCTGCTGGTGCTGGTCCCGGCGGGCGTTGGAGCCGCCATCGAGGTGAGTTCCGGGCAATGACCTGAACTGTCTGAGGTCCATGGGCCTCCGCGCACTCGGGAAAGGCTTTCAGCCCCAGCGTGTGAGACCTTCCGTGGAAGCCTGCGTGCTTGTTCCCGACGGCCTCGGTGTTCTGGAAGCTGTGGAATGGCAGGCGGTGGCTATAAAGGCTTTGAACAAGTGGAGAGCAGGGAAATGGGTGTTCTGATGGCATCAGCTCCTGAGGCCTGTCCACCAAGCAGAGTGGTTTACGTGTTTGAGAAATCCCACCACGCGCAAAGCAGAGGCGTAAACTGTGGGGCCTTGAGAGGCTCGTGCTATGGCTGCAGAGCTGAGCACGGCGGCCAGGTGGGCAGTGACGGAAATCACTCGGTGCCCTGTGGTCCAGCCCTGGTTGTTTGGAGCTCAGAAAAGCCAGCCAAAAGGGAGCCTTGTGGGGCAGGGCCAGCTTGGGAGCAAAACTTGAGGGGCCGATGGCCTTCAGGGTGAGAGGGCCCAGACATCCGCCTGGCTCCTCCCTGAGCTCTGTGCCGCCTTGGCAGGAGCCAGAGTCTGAGGGCCCCGCAGTTGGTGGCCCGTTTGTGGGTGGGGGCCTGCACGGCCGTCATGTCTGTTGAGGAGGAGCTGGATTAGATGGTGCTGGAGCACCGCAGGCAGGGCCCGCCATAGGTACGAGTCACAGTGCCATGCCCAGCTCAGGCACCAGTCCTCTGTGAACAGTGCCTTCCAAGGATGCAGCCAGGTGGTGGCAGCTCTCAGAGAGGTCCTGAAACAGGCTCCACGGCTGCCCAAGTGCCAGGCAGAAGGAGGTGGGGGCTAATTTGGGTGCAGGCAGGGTGGTTTAGAGAACTGCACTTGCATGCTGGTTTTGTCGTCTGCTGGTCGGTGGCTGTGCAGCCCACCTGACCAGGTATACCTGCCGTGTGTGGGTTAGAGGCCCAGGTCCGGCCCCCACCGTTCTGCCCTGAGCTGTGGGAGGGACAGGAAGAGGACGGTGGGCTGGGCGGGGCCGTGGGCGACAGGTCCTACCCGTTACCGTCTGGGTCATTCATTCGGGGTCTTGTGGCCTTGGAATATTAAAGGAACTATTTCCTGATTTCTCCCCTCAGCTGTGGAAAGTGAAGAAGGCATTGAAGATGACTATTCTTTGGAGAGGCCTGATACCCGAATTTCAGGTAGGATTTAACTGTAGTGGCTGAACCCCACGCCTTCTCTGAAGAGTGTGGTTTTGCCCCCTGCGCGCAGAGTAAAGTGGCCATCCGTGGATGAGTCACTGCGGGCCTCTGTCAGGAGCCTCCGTGGTGGAGGCAGCACTGGTTTCCTATCGCAGCCACTCTCTTCGCCTGAGGACTCCCCAGTCATGTACCTAGTTCTGACCCTCTTCAATGCAGATGGCAGCGCTTCTGGGCCTGAGCCGGCCTCTGGGAGAAAGGACGCTGGCTGGCCAGCGGGAGTGCTTCGTTTTGGCACCTTGCTTAGAGTGCGCTCCCGAGGCTGGTGCTGACTGGGATCAGTACAGTCCTGGCAATCCCCAAGTGAGCGAGCCCCTGCCTCTTGTGGCTGCCCCAGTGCCTGGGTGCTCCTGAGGCCCCTAGGCAGGTGAGGACTGGGGCAGAGCTGGAATTGAATCTCAATGCCCACAGATGGACCTTGATTGAGGCGGGGCCCTCAGCAGTCATGGCTGAGATTTTCCATGCTGTGGGCAGAGGAAGGGCAGGAAGCCCAGCAGATGCAGCGCAGCCTCTGTGTTCCAGCCTGGCCCCGTGACTCCTGGCTGGCTGGTGCAGAGCATTGTCGGCTGTGCCTGTGCCCTCTGCAGTGTTCTCACTGTGAAGCAGTGTCACTGAAAACCGAGCCACCCAACGAGGAACAGCAGTGAGGCCGCGCTGTCCCCGCTCAGGCTTGCGGGACCCAGGGCCAGGGTGAGGTGGGAAGGGCCCATGCAGATCCGTGTCCTCTGGGTCCTCTCCTCGGCCGATAGGGACCTGAGCGCCCTCTGTAGCGAGGCCTGGGTCAGCTCTGCAGCCATGTGTGATGCCCCTTAGTCACAGCTCACCTGTGCTGAGCTCCTCCCTGAGTCTGTTAACATCCCTGTGTTGAATTTCACGACAGTTTGGCACTTACAGCGAATCTGAGAGGAAAACCGAGGAGTACGATACTCAGGTAAGTCACATGTGATTCAGGGCACGTGCATGCCAGGCAAATCCCACACCCTCGAAGATGGGGCTCTTGCTGTCATTGCTCAGTGCGGAAGTCTCCTTGGAGTACGGGTCAGCCCGCCTTGAGCAGGGATCCCAAGAGTGAACACATAAAACCCAAATTTCTTACTGGGACATAAAACCCAAATTTCTTACTGGGAAGGGCGGGGGCTTGCAGAGACGCTCATTCCCCAGTACTTACAGGCACAGCCTGCCTGTGTCACCGTGTAGTAGGGGTATTTTCATCGTTTGTAAGTCACATTTGCCAGGCGGCTGACACAGGCCTTGGTGTCTGCTGTGGTTGCTGGGAACGCACTTGCCGTCACCAAGGCCATAACGGCCTTGGCAGCTCGGTGACCTGGAGGATCGGCCCCAGAAGCACAGAGCATCACCTTTCCCCAGTGCTGTTGGGGGAGCTGGAAGTCTCAGTTCAAGTTAAAAGAACATTTCTGCACAGGAATTATTTCGGTTTGGTTTAACGTTCACCAGCTTGTATCTAACTTTCATGGAGTTGTAAATCTGAAATCAGTAGATACAGCTGGCGATGTGACTATGTTACCTAGTAGACAGTTGTCTTTCCATTATGTTTGTTGATCTGTTGTAGATTGTTGGTTTTGACCAGCCCAAATTGATCTATTATTGTTAACTAGCGCCTGTAGTTACACCCGGGCTGTGGCGTGTGTGGTGCCTCCTGGGCTGTGGCGAGCGCACGAAGCCCTACGTGCGCCCCTCATGCCGCGCGCCCCCTTCAGAGCAGCCCTGCCGCCCCTAGTGCTGTAGCTCGTTCTGTCTGTCCCTGTCGTATTGAGCTCCATGCAGTGCGTTTACACAGGCCTGGCATTTGGGCCTCTAACTGGAAGCTCCCTTTGTTCCCTGCAGGCCATGAAGTACTTGTCGTACCTGCTGTACCCTCTCTGTGTTGGGGGTGCTGTCTATTCCCTCCTGAATATCAAGTATAAGAGGTAGGAGGCTGCATACGCTTCACCTGCTGCGTCTTTCCCCTGAGAAAGCCATTTGGATGACTGAGCCAGAGCGGAGTGTGGCTGGAGGGCAAGCTAGGGGCCAGGGCACTTGGGCGAGTGCCTGGGAGGGGTCCTGACCCTGCAGCTGCACACGGTGGGCTCTGGGCCTCAGTGTCCCCCCACTGGTAAGGTGTAGCCGAGAGGACTGACTCCGGCCACCAGGCTTCATGGGAAACTTGGCCCTGAGCTGAGAGTGGTCCTGGAGCCCCTGGCCTCCGCTGCCCGGGTGGGATGCTGGCCCTGAGCCGAGCAGGGACGGAGCCCCCGGCCTCTGCTGCCCGAGCATGGTGCTGGCCCTGAGCCAAGAGGGGTCCCCGAGCCCCTGGCCTCTGCTGCCTGGGCGAGGGCGCTCAGCGCTGTCTCCAGCTTGAGAACCAGGCTCAGCACTGCTGCTCTTGGCTGCCCAGCTGCAGTGAGAACACCTGGGATTTTTTTTAGAGGATTTTTAATGAAAGAATTATTTTTCATCAATTTAATACAGATACTAAGCTATGCGAGAAATGGGACTTCTCCTTTTTTTTTCCATTTCAGCTGGTACTCGTGGTTAATCAACAGCTTTGTCAATGGTGAGTCCATGTGCTTCCCTACTTCAGTAATAGTATTTACAGCAGGCACCAGTTTAATTATTCTCACATTGTAACCCAGTGTGGCAGGTGCCTCTGCGGTGTCCGGGGCTCCCCCCAGGCTGTGAGCAGATAAAGCCCTGCGTAGCTTCACAACAGTGACTGGTTCTGAGAAACAGTCCTTGTACAAGTGACAGGGAGTGCTTACACCAGATGCGGCAGCCACTCCACGCCAGGCTGTGTGGTGCAGCCTCCTGGTATACGTGTGCGTCACTGATCACAACAGCGTTGTGTGGTACGGGACTGTTGTCTGTTTTCTTCATGAAAACAAGTAAACTTAAGCATTAAAACACCACCATCCACGTCTGGTTCCTTAGAGCAAATGGAAGCACCAGGCTCTCCTGCCGATGCACTGTGGGGACCCCGCAGGGCCCTGTGCTCGGGGCCACATGTCCTGGGAGGCCCGCCCGCCCCCACCTGCCCCAGGTGGCACCTTCAGCTGCATGGGCTGCTGTGTCCATCCCCCCGCCCCACCAGACCAGCCCTGATCGCAGCTTTGTGGTCTCTTTGGGAAGTGGTCCCGTGAGCATTAAGGGCGACGCCTGTCTGGTGCAGAGCAGGTGGGTCCCGCACTGCCGTCCTCCCTGGTGGGAGTCTCACACCTGGTAGGAGTCCCACATTTGACCCCTGGGGCAGGACCTTGTCCTCAGCCCCAGGGTGCTCCAGCGCCCTCACTCACTTGACCCCATGGGCAGCAATTACACTGATTAATGAATAAAAGAGCTTTGCTCTCCAAAGTTGTCATGGACTCTTGATAAACTTATCAGCCAGAAAGTTGCTTCACACAATGGCAGACTCTGAAGTTGTCTGGATGGCAGACCTTGTTTTCTGCCCGCTATGCACAGACGTGGCAGCCTGGCCCTCCACGCCTCGTGAGTGCTGTCTGTCTCTCTGCAGGGGTCTATGCCTTTGGCTTCCTCTTCATGCTGCCCCAGCTGTTTGTGAACTACAAGGTAAGGTGGTGTGTGCTGCCTGCGGCCCGGCCCCCGTCTCCTGTGCTGCCCGCAGCTGACCTTTGCCTGTCTCTCCTGTTTCAGTTGAAGTCAGTGGCACATCTGCCCTGGAAGGCCTTCACCTACAAGGTGAGTGTGACAGTTGGCCAGGAGTCCCTTCTCACTGAGCAGAGCATGAGTGAGGGCGTCTTCCAGCCAGCAGCATTACCGGGGCAGTCTCTGCCCAGAGTGCATCTGCAGCCGTCCGTTTCACTGAAAAATATTAAGGAGGCTCCTTTAAAAAAAGCAAAGAGCTGTAGAGAACTTCAGACCCTGAAAGACTGGGGTTCTCTCACTTGTCACAGATTTGGTTTTGGTTTTTATGTTTCTTCTTAGCACACGTGTCAAGACACAGACCCCTGTGGCCCAGTAACCGGTGCCTGGGGACAGTGGATTCAGGCCTCCCAGGCAGGAATGGAAGCCCCCATGGGCCGTGGCCATTCCCCGTGGGTAGAGCTGTGGAGGCCCCCTTGGCTCCGTGTGGGATTAGAAGTGCCTCAGCATTGCAGGCAGAGCTGAGTTAATGGGACGTGATTTGCACTTTTCTGAAGTCAAGTACAAGCTCCCAGAGGAAAGGGCAATGCTCGGGCAGCTCTCCCCTTGGCTGTGTCTCGGACGGCTCTGCCCTTGGCTCTTCCCTTGGCTGTGTCTCGGACGGCTCTGCCCTTGGCTCTCCCCTTGGCTCTGGTCTCGGGCCGTTCTCTTTGGGTTCCCTGATGTGGGTGGGAGCCTGGGCGAGACCTGCAGTGTGTCGGGTGCCAGCGGCTGTGGGGAGCCCCTGAGGGAACAGAGCGTCGTGTCTCCACTTGCCGGCTTTCTGCTCTTTCGTTGTTGCTGTGAAGAGTTCCAGTTAGTTAGTTCCAAGTATCTGCCAAAAGCCATTTGCTTGGTTAGGTTACCAGAAACAACAGGATTCCAGTCCCAGCAACTGGGGCTCACCTTCCTCCCATCTGGCCCTGCAGGCTTTCAACACCTTCATTGATGATGTCTTTGCCTTCATCATCACCATGCCCACGTCTCACCGGCTGGCCTGCTTCCGGGACGATGTGGTGTTCCTGGTCTACCTGTACCAGCGGTGGTGAGTGCGGCTGTGCACGCTCAGCTCTTGGTCCGTCTCAGCGGCGTGGCGCTGCTGCTGAACGGAATGACGACTTTCACAGCACCCTGCGCCTGTTTGTCCATTAGAGGGCAAAGATAATTTGCAGGTGGTGGTTTTTCCTGTCTTGCCTAAACTTGGGTTCCAGTTGCCCATGATACGGCCTGGCAAGAAACTTGCAGCTCTGTCTCCTCATTGTGCTTTAGAAATGCTCGTTTCTATGTGAATTATTGATTAGCCACTGAAAGCAAATTTCTCTCCTTAAGCTATTTACTTATTCACAGTCATTGCTATTGAGCAGAACAGAGACCATAGCACGACTAATCCATACTTGGCACTAGCCTTGAGGTGTCCAGCTGGCAGTCCTGGGGTCCAGGTCTCCAGCGTCGGGAACAGGCTCTGGGCCACTCTTGGGCTGTGTGTCCCTGCAGGGCAGAATGTCACTGGAGAGCTCGCTCACCTCGACATTGGCCACACCCCTTAAACCGGCCACCCGGGCCTCTGAAGACGACATTGTGTTGACCTCCCGGCTTGGCCTTCAGGTCGAAGGCTGACGGCTAAGGAAAAGGCTTTGTGGAATTTTCTAAACTCAGAGGCTCAGGCCCCAGCCCCGGCCTCGGAATTTTCTAAACACAGAGGCTCAGGCCCTGCCCCGGGCCTCCTGCTTCCCTCCAGGGCTGACATCTGCCCTCTCGGTCAGCAAGAGCTCCCTCAGCTCTGCTGTGCCAGGGTAGGAGCCAGGGATCTGGGGCTCCCCTCAGGAGGGTTGTGTCCGGACCACTGCAAGCACTGCCCTCACCTCCAGTCCCGGCCCCAGGCCTTGTCCAGGGGTGGAAGGAGTGTGTGTCACCCCCAAGGCCTGTTGCCGAGTGTCTCAGAGCCTCCTGGCTGTGTCCTTTCTCTGACCCTCGAGGTCCCTCTTCCCATCTCCCCCCGTCCCGACCAGGAGGCCACCACTCATACACCATGGCTGTGACACTTCCCTGTGCCCTTCCCAGGCCATGGCCCCCCTCAAGGCCTGGGGCCATCCTCCTAGTGCTGGAGAGAGATCCTTTTCCCCCAGGTCATCCTGGGGGGTCCTGCCTCGGTCTGGGCTGCCGGCCCTTGGGGAGCACAGTGCTTCCATCCCCACCTGTCTCCACACGCGGCCTCGCCAGGTGTTTCAGAGCCTCTGTCCCGGCCAGTGTGAGGCTGGCATCGTTCGGCCTGTTTTAACTCTTTGTTCAGGTGCAGTTGGCACATCCACACAGTGGCGCATGGCCGCCCTTGCCTAGCTCTCCAGGCCTGGCCGCTGGCTGCCCACCCACCCCCTTGCTGTCTCATGTAGCCCCTGCGCTGGAGCTCCAGCCTGGGTCTCGGCAGGAAGGGCTGTTTCCCCGTAAACAATACTCACGCTCACACGGGGCTTGGCTCCCGTCCCCGGTTCACCGTTCTCAGATCCCCCAGTTGGCCTCCTGCCCCCTGCAGAGCTTGAGGTTGTCCAAGCCATGGAGCCCCGGATGCTGCTGCGCCTGGCGTGGTTGTCACTCCTCAGGGTCCCGTCTCAACCATGAGCCCTTCAGGTGGCTCCCAAGTCCTCGAAGGTGGCCCAGGGCATGCCTGAAACTGTGCTACACTTGGGCTCTGTGTGTTTCTGGTTCCAGACCTGCAGACGGTGTTTGGCCAGGACCACAGTGCCCTCGGTGGGCAGCAGGCCCGTTTTTAAGCTGAAACGCTGTAGTCTGCTGTTTGTGGCTGTGTGGAGCTGCCCCTCATGCCACAGCTCCCTCATCCATACGCAGGGGTGATGTTGGCAAAGGTTGGCAAGGCCTCGGGGGCTCTCAGGATCAAAGGTGGCGGCAGTGTCCTGCCAAGTGTTCACAGCTGAGGAGACGCGCTCCCTGAACATGGCAGTTCCTGTTCTGATCGCGCGGGTCTCCGTGATTCCATAGTTCCCAGAAGGCAGCCGGTGCAGCCTCCGGGTCCTCCGTTTGGCCAAGCTTCCCTTTCCTTGAGAACAGTGCGCTGGCCTGGCCATGCAGAACAAAACAACTCAGAAATCCCTCCTCGGCCTTCGGCAGTAAAACTTCTGAGGATTTGACTTTTTAGTTAATTTGTTCACTGTGGCCACTCATTGGAAAATAAATCAAGGATGCCAAGTCCTCCTCTTAGGAAAATAGCCCCTGCAGTGGGGTTTGCTGATGTGCTCGTTTGTGTCGTTGTAGGCTTTATCCTGTGGATAAACGCAGAGTGAACGAGTTCGGGGAGTCCTACGAGGAGAAGGCCACGCGGGCGCCCCACACAGACTGAAGGCCGCCCGGGCTGCCGCTGGCCACGTGCGACTTGAATTGTCCATGAGTATTTTCAGAAGCATTTGGTGGAATTCCCAGACATTTGCATTTTCTGTGTTGCCAAAATCGCTTTGGACATTTCTCAGACATCTCCCAAGTCCCTCACATCAGATTTGGAGCTGGTGGCGCTCACGGTGCCCCCACGTGTGAACGTCTGTCTTGGTCACAGAGCTGGGCGCTGCCAGTCAGCTTGAGCTGTGGTGGCTCCCGGCACGCGAGTGTCTGGGGGTCGGCCATGTCCTCACACTGGCAGGTGCGGGAGCCCTCACAGGCAAGGGGGCTGTTGGAGTTCCATTTCAGGTGGTTTTCTAAGTGCTCCTTATGTGAATTTCAAACACATACGGAATTCATTCCGCGTGGACTCTGGGATCAAAGGCTCTTTCCTCTTTTGTTTGAGAGTTGGTTGTTTTAAAGCTTAATGTATGTTTCTATTTTAAAATAAATTTTTCTGGCTGTGGCATTTTTCTTGACCTGGTATAATGAAAGTATTTCAGATATTTGAGTTTAACCCTTTTCCAGAAAGTAATACATAATGTGGATTTATTTATGCATTAAAAGAGCAAATTTAAAGAGCCCTTCCCAAGCCTTTGAGTCATGAGTATTCTTACATACTTAGCATCTCAGTTATTTAAGACTAAATTATTGTACAGAGCCATGACCCGTCGGGTCAAGCCTATCTTGCCCTAGGTTGAGGCAGAGAGGGAGAAATGGAATAGAAAGATGGGTAGAGAACTGCTGGACTCTGTGTGTAGTCAAGTTTCAGGTTTGCTGAAGTTAGTTCTTGTGGGGTTGGTTGTTCTCAGCCCACAGCAGCCTGCACCTCCCACGTTCACATGCTCGATTCTCCTGCCTCAGCCTCCTGAGTAACTGGGACTACAGGTGTGTGCCACCACATCCAGCTTTTTTGTATTAATATTTTTTTTTTTTTTTTTTTTTTTTGAGACGGAGTCTCGCTCTGTCGCCCAGGCTGGAGTGCAGTGGCCGGATCTCAGCTCACTGCAAGCTCCGCCTCCCGGGTTCACGCCATTCTCCGGCCTCAGCCTCCCGAGTAGCTGGGACTACAGGCGCCCGCCACCTCGCCCAGCTAGTTTTTTGTATTTCTTAATAGAGACGGGGTTTCACCGTGTTAGCCAGGATAGTCTCGATCTCCTGACCTCGTGATCCGCCCGTCTCGGCCTCCCAAAGTGCTGGGATTACAGGCTTGAGCCACCGCGCCCGGCCTGTATTAATATTTTTAGTAGAGATGTGGTTTTGCTGTGTTGGCCAGGCTGGTCTCAGATTCCTGAAAAGTGATCACTCGCCTTAGCCTTTTGAAGTGCTGGGAGTACAGGCATGAGCCTCCCCACCTGGCCTCTAAATACGTAATCTTTTTTTATTCCTGGGCATTTCCTTGCTCTAAGTCTCCTTTGCCAATAACAGCTTTCATCCTCGTGTGTTTCTGGAACAGGCGCCCCTCTCATGGGCCTGGCTTCCTCGCGGCTGAGGGGCTTCAGGAGCCCTGCTTAGAGCCCCAAGCCTGTTCCATGTGTCTCCACGTCAACAGACGAGGCACACCATTCCAGGATGCTCATTCAGGCTGAGAACCAAATCCAGATGCTCTCAGGCCATCCGCAGTTGGCGGTGAAGTTTCTGTACACTCTGCTTTCTTTCAGATCAGATAAGTCTTTTATAGTTAAGGTGGTGTAAACGTCACTCAATTTGAGAGGAATGCACTGGGCTTTCAAGTTGTCATCTTTTAGTTTTATCCATTAAAATACGAAGATACCAGGTGAGTTGGCACAGGAAAACAAGTATGAATACACGGCCTATACTGCGTTACTTAGTTGTGTGTCGTAAGTGGGGTCTGGAAGGGTGGCTGGGAGAGCGGGTGAACTGCTGGGGTTTATTAGATGTGCAGGTCCCATGAAAGGCACAGCACCTCAAGGGGCCTGGGGGGGCACACGGGAGGCGGCTCCACGGGCAGGGCAGATAGTCGGGACCCTTGGGCAAGTCAGCGGTGGGGGAAAGACAGCAGGAGGCGTGAGGGGCTGCGTTGGTGTGTGTGAGGGTCACGAGGTCACGGCCCTGCCCATCACAGGTCGGTCTGCGGGGAAGTTGAGGCATCAGGGAACAGGAAGTTGTAAACGTCTACAATGGACCTTACCCACACAGGCCGTGCCTTTGCCTGTGGTGCCAGATTACTAGGGCGGGGTGTGGTGGAGGGTGTCCCTTCCATACCCGCGGTTTTATTTGTCTTTGGGGGAGGGCAGCCTTGCTTTATAAAACACACAACTGGCTGTGTTCTGTAAGGCTTCACCTAGCGTCCTGTTGGCAGCAGCTAAGCACACAAACGGGAAAGGAGTATCGCCCAACTCCACCAATGAACCCAAAGTGCCTGGCTTTGCCTGGGGATTGCTGGCAAGGTCAGGTGCGGTTCCCAGCGTTTCTTCTGCCTCTTGGGGCACATCCCGTGGTGGATCAGCGCCTGCGGCCAGCTCCTGCAGAAATAGCGTCATCCAGCACTTGCGTCAGCAGCCAAAGCCGGGCCTAACTGTCAGGGGCTCTGTGGACAGCTCTGCTCTCGCTTTTCAGTTTCAGTATGAAAAACAGTCGCTACAAGAACTCATTTTTGCCACAGCACCTGCTCTTCTATTTGGGCTGAGCAAAGGAGCCTCATCAACCTGACAGCACAGGCAGCTTAGCCTGAGTTTTCAGGAAGCACCGTGGGAGGGCTCCCAAAAGGGGCAGATGTCCACCGTGCACTGTATCTGCTTCTGTAGTCGGCCCTCCAGTGCCGTTTTCTTTCCCCTGCAAAGGACATTGTGCGGGAACCAGCTGCTGGCAACTGTTAGTCTTGATCTGTGTAAACAGTAGCAAGTTGCAGATTGTTCCTTTGAAGATACCGCAAGTCACGTGTGTCAGTTACTCCTGAGAGGTTGCTAGGGCACCTGCCTCTCCATTTTTTTAAGATAAGCAGAGGTTTAAAAAAAATAAGGAGTTTGGGGAATGAGGCCTTGCAAGTCCTTCCAGCTTCAGGATCAGCACTTGCTCTGACAGTCTTGACTTCCTGCCCTGTGGGCCGGCACTCCTGCAAATGGGCAGTGTTTCAAGAGAGGCTGGGACTGAGCCTCTTGCCGATCCCATCTCACGAGAACCCTGAAGCTTCACTGCCCAATGGAGGCTCCAGCTGGGTGACCTGAAACACGCTTAAAGGGTTTATCCTTCATCTCGATGAGTTTAGTTCTGTTTTCCTCTTGGATTTCATTGATACTTCTTCATAACGTCAAGGCCGTGTCTTATGATTGATCGTGAGGTGGGACTGAGGAATATTCTAAGTACCTGTTGATTTTAGAATGTGTCAAAGCCCTCAAAGCTGTTGCCAGCATCTGTGAAACTGGACTGACATGGCGAGGGCCCCGGGTCTCCCACGGTGGAACTGTAGTGTCCTCGTCGCAGCTGGTGGGCTCCATACCTGGGCGGGACAGGCTCAAAGCAGCCAGTGTCCAGAAGGAGCTTCTGTCTCTCCCCCTTGGCACTGGCCACTCATTTTATAGAAGAGATTTTTTTTAGACCAGAGTTTACTAGAAAGCCCAGGAAAATGAGAACTCGTACCCCTGTGAAATACCTGCCACACGTAGCCGTATAGAAGCCAGTTTGATGGCTGTCACGTGTTTGGCATCAAGATCAGTCTGTTGGCCTCGGCCTCGGTAAGGCCTGCAGGCCAGGGGTCTGGAGGAAGGATGGGGTGCAGCCCACGATAGGTGAGGCTATGGAACCCCGACGAAGGGGGCTGTGTTCAAGGAGTGACCCATGTGGAGGAGGGAAACCAGGAGCAGGTCTTGGCATACCACACTATTTACCCCTTTCCTGAAGCAGGTACAGGACCCAAGGGGGCATGGTGCCCTGTGGCCCACTGAGCTTTCAGAGCAGCAGCCTCTGCAGAGACGTTGGTCCTGGAAAAGCCACCGCCTGAGTGTCCCCCAGCCAGTGTCCCGCAGCCATGGCCACAATCCCTGCAGCTTCCATGCTTCAAGCAGCATATTTGTTCTCTTGTGAGAAGATCACCTGAGGCCAGAAGTCCAGACCAGACCTCCCTGGGCGGCCGCTGAGGTGTGGGCAGGCCGTGCCCTCCAGAGGCTACAGGTGCTCTGGTCCTCGCGTTCGCCACCTCGAGAGCTGTGCTCCTTGCGTTCCCAGGCTCATGGCCCCTTCTTCGCCTCACCTGACCTCTGCCTCCGTGGTCATATCCCTGCTTCTCACCCCTACCCTCCGTGGTTCCATCCGCCCCAGACGATTACCCAGCATGATCTCCCGTCCAAGATCGCAAGTATGATGGTGGCCACAGAGGCCACTCCAGTGCGTGGGGTCACATCCGTGGTTCTAGGGCTGGACCCTGATGTCTGGCGGGACACGCCCACCTCCCCCTCATCCTGCCATTTCCCTTGTTGAACCTTCAGTTGTGATGTCCCAGTGGCTTTTGTACTCCTGGCTGGACTCAGCTGGTGCACTGAGAGGCGGACTCTTTTATTATTATTATTTTTTTGAGACAGAGTCTCGCTCTGTCACCCAGGCTGGCACTGCAACCTCCGCCTCCCAAGTTCAAGTGATTCTCCTGCCTCAGAGATCTCCCGAGTAGCTAGGATTACAAACTGCCACCACGCCCGGCTCATTTTTGTATTTTTAGTAGAGACGGGATTTTACTATGTTGGCCAGGCTGGTCTTGAACTCCTGACCTCAGGTGATCTGCCCACCTCGGCCTCCCAAAGTGCTGGGATTACAGGCGTGAGTCACTGCACCCGGCTGGCAGGCACTTTTTAAAAACTTGTGACTGTACAGTTTCCACACAGTGTCATAGCAGATACACCCTGTGCAGCTCAACAAGCCCTCCATGCTTCCACACGCCAGCACCGAGCACCCGAGTCAGGCTACACACGGACCCCAGCCCACAGAGCCCTCTCGGTGGAAACCATGCAGGTGAACCCCACCCAAGGGTCACTGGGTCCAAGGCTCACACTGGAACAGTCACACTGGGAGCTCTGGTACCTAGGTTCTCGGGGTGGGCTCTGTCTGGCGTCCATCTGTGTTGTCGCAAACGGCGCTCATTTGTAACTTTCTTCCATGTGGCATTCCATGGCATGAACCCGGGACGTTATGGATCAAATCGCGCACGTGGCTGTGCCTGCCTCTGAGGCACAGACCCAGGGGGGACATGGCTGTCGTGGTGCATGTGTGCTGAGCTCCAGTACACGTCACCCATATTCTAAGGGGGCTGTGCACTCTGGCTGGGCACCATGGCATGTGAGTCCCATGGCATCACCCCTTCTCCGGCACACGACGCTGCTGTCTTTAATTTTAGCCACTCTGGTGGGTGTGTAGTGGAGTCTTTTTGAGGTTTAAACATGCATTTCCCTGCTGACTAGTGGTGTTGAAAACCTTTTTGTATCCTCACTGACCATCTGGGTGGCCCCTCTTTGTGTTTTCCGTTTCCTGTTCCTTCCAATCACACCGTGCAGAGCCGATCGTGCAGGGCTGGCTCACTGAAGCTGCCGCGACCACAGACGGTGAGGCTGACAGCATTTCCGCTTCGCCTGTTGT